AATACGATGGGCTTTGGGAGGTGAACATGTTTATAAAATGGGTTTACAATCTTTTCCCTGGGAGGGTGTGCACAAACACGATGGGCATTGGGAGGTGAACATGTTTATAAAATGGGTTTACACATCTTTTCCCTGGGAGGGTGTGCACAAATACGATGGGCTTTGGGAGGTGAAAATGTTTATAACATGGGTTTACCATCTTTTCCCTGGGAGGGTGTGCACAAATACGATGGGCAGGGTGAGGTTTATAAAATGAGGCGATCCAACCTCCGCGTTTTGGGTCACTTTTTTTGCGCTGTGGTTGGCTCCCTTACAATAGTGGCTCTACAACCAAGGTTTCTAGTACATACCTGAGTTTGCATGGGCCTATCACACCATAATGAGCCATTTATGGTATAGCCGTATAGTGGCTATAGGCTCCATGTAGGCAAATCCTATGCAGGACTAGTTTCTGTTAACATCTTCTAACTCTTTTTGAAGAAGAAGAATTCACTCAAAACATCTCAAAATAATGAAAGTCAACTTTATTTTTAAAACATAGAAGCAACTGTGCAATTTAAGACAAGTGATAGCAACCGAATGCAATCATCTCAACAAACTTGCAAGCAAAAACATGTGAAACACAACAATGCCAAAAGGAAAAACACTGCTCACATAAATATGTTCATTGATGTTCATTGAACATTTTGACATTATTTTGTGTGCTGATCAAAACCTGAGCATTCACCATGTGCCACATTCAAGTTGTGCATCGTCTTTGGCAGGGGAAATGATGGGAAATGGATGGAAATGTTTTGATTCGGTTGCTATCACTTGTCTTAAATTGCACAGTTGCTCCCTTGTTTTGATATTAAAGTTGACTTTCATTCTTTTGAGATGTTTTGAGTGAATTATTCTTCTTCAAAAAGAGTTAACAGAAACTAGTCCTGCATAGGATTTGCCTACATGGAGACTATAGCCACTATAGTGCTATACCATAAATGGCTCATTATGGTGTGATAGTCCCATGCAGGCTCCCATGGCTTTAGACTTATAGTGCGTATAGTGGACACAACCACAGCAAGATGTTGGATGAGCATTCCATACACATGGACCATTTTCGGATCAAAATGATCACCGGTTCATGGAAAGCCATTCCACAAAGAGAAAAAAGGCGTCTGCGGATTTTCATTTTTTTTCTCTTGTATGTTGTCTCGCCATTATATAAAAAGGTCGGGTTATCATTTTATAAAGCAGCAGCCTGAGGGATTTGATTTTATAAATGATTTTTCTTTATAACATCAAATCCCTCACCCCAGAGACCTCCACAAGGGGGATCATTTTGGGTGGTCAACCTACGAAAGATCAGTACCCTGGGACCCTTCGATGGTCGACCCTATTCCTGTTCACCCTTCGATCGTCGACCCCAGGGTCCCCCTATTTGGACCCACCTGCCCTGAGACCCCGCAGGTGACATGTCCTCGGCGACCTCCTCGGTGTCGATCGACAAGTTGGTGAGTAAAGACCTCAGTCTGTTGGCGCCCAACGTGGAAAGCTTCCTGAGCAACCTGAAGGTGACGATGGCACAAATGGACCAGGTCTTACTGGATCAGAAGAACACCAGTTACTCAGAGCAAGAGAGTTTGGAGAGGATTCGGATATATACACACACACATATATATATATTATCAATATATTTGCATATCTATATATATATATACATGTTATGTATGATGAAGCGTTATCAAATGGGCCACTTCCACTTCCATGATTATTTCAGGGACTGCAAATATGTTCTGTATGTTACGACCTAGTGGACTCATGTCATCTTTCTGACGAGACGTGCTGACCCAAACTGACCCAGACATGGTTTCACACATCTAACTACATGAGATTACGTGACCCAGCCATAGGACCGCCACCCCATAGACCCCCGAAGCCACTCAAACTGATCGGCAGTCCCATGGGTGGTGTCTGGGTGATGGACTTCGATTTCAAGCGAGCTGAAGAAGCGTTCTACGCGTCCCGGGCGTCTGGTTACGGCTCATAGGCGCTCATAGGGTCCATCCGAGCGTCTGGAGGAGAGCTGGGTGGCCTAGATGGCCCAGTTGAAGGCCGGTGACAGGTCTATTTTGCGAGAAGAACCCCGTCGAACCCTCACAAAATGGAGACGCGACGCATCTAGGTTAAATGGAAAATACACAGCACTCATGTCACTCATGTAGATCATAGAAACGTTTCGGATGGTGTCCCAGCTTTCATGTCCACAGACCGTTCATTTGACGCCTCTTTGACATGTTTGTTGGCAACCCATGCATTGCGCGCACCTTGCTGTCCTGCCTTTCTGTTCATCCAAGGTGACAGTTGGAGGGACACCATGTGCCGTTGGTTGCATGCGAACACAGAGGTCTGGCAATCCTGGATCCCAGATGAGAGACTTGCTTGCTGAAGAAAGTAGTTTGACGTCTGACAATGCACTTTGAACGTCCTTATTATGTTGGGATCGATCAGGGTAGGTTGATTGTACCCATCAACACTCACCAAAACGACATGGGATAACATGTAAGAGTCGATGCGAAACTCGACCGTCCACCCAAGGAGTCGATGCTTCCCTGGCTTTGGACTCTACGACACGGTGCTGGAAAGCTTCACGGAGCAACGTGTGAACACCAGCAACAAGATCGTGTGTCAGGCGTGGGGGTGTTTCCACCGAGGGGTTGAGCTGTCTGTCGCGAAAAGCATGGTAGCCGCGGCTACAGCTGAGCCGATAGACTGGAGAAGCTTTGAGCGGGTTGTCGGCGACGGTGGACGCGAATTGGGAACCGGAACTGACGAGAACGTGATGGAACAAACATGTTCCAGGCATGTGCCCGAAAGCCTCTGGTTAGAACATTTTGGTCAGAATCTGATGTTCAAGCCAGCACACAAATCTCTTCTCAGACGCATCCCACTTTAGATCCTAAATAGGTTATATAATCATAAGTCATAAGTCTTTCTTGCACCGCGAATCTGCCTGCGAATTGAACAGTGCACTCTCGCCTTGCGCACGATCGCCAAGCGAATCCCACAAGCCACCAGAAATCACCCAACCCTTCGAACCGCCAAAAAAATGTCTCCTGCAACCACGCAACCGCGGCAACCACGCATGCATGCGCAGCGAGCCGCAACCATGGCGCGACACGCCAAGAAGACCAAGACTCAGGTTGTTTTGATGGAATGCGGTGGAGACACGCTTCAGTTCTGAACGGCGATGGATGTATCATCGCACGTTCAGAAGCTGACTTGATGTGCTCATGGTCGGATCTTTTAACATGTCATTGCCTTGCTTCTTAGGGAAACTTTGGGAAAGATTGGTTCAACGAACCATGAAAACGTCACAGGTCCAGTACAAGTGCCTGGACATGACTGCAAAGAGTCAAGTTGAAGGACAAATAGAACATAGAACGAACTACTATATACTAAGAGAATCAACAAAACCAGTGAGTGCTTCACAATTGCCTTTCATCTACAGAAGTGAAGACTCCACAACGATGAGATACCGCAGGAAGAGAACCACTTATAACCACTTTTCGATCTACCCTCCGCTCGGTGCAAAGACGCTCATAGCAGAGGAGACATCCAGAGCAGAAATACCGCCCCATTTCTCCTCTTGTGGCGAAAGGATGCGACAAGTTAGATTTTATTTTTTCTGAACCCCGGCTCCCTATGTTTGAGGGTCGCATGCTTCAAACTGCTTCATGCTCCCAAACAGCTCCCAAACAGCTCCCATGCTGAATGTTTTTCAGGGTCGTTAAATCACCTAACATATGAAGCAGCCGCCACCGGGAAAACCCTCACAGCCTGTTTTATTTTTTTCCTGTCATGTTTTTTTTGTTGGGGTTGCTTCGACATCCTTCGGTGATGTCGCCGTTTTCAGAGTCAGAGGCTTGCGCTTCGGGCACCTTCTCTCAAGCCTTGTCTGAGTCTTGGAGAGGGAAGCGTCGTGGACGAACGGTCGTGACCCACCTGGAGCCCGCCCGAGGGTCGTCCACCAGAGGAGGCGTAAGAGGCAGAAGCAAGTGTGTATGTTGGACATAAGGCGTGGGGTAGTGGCTGATCACTAGCTAGCGAAAGTGGCTCTGGCTATTCCTTTTGGAGCCACTTAGGGTGCTACAAGCACGAGTGAACCACCAGCACTTCCTTCCAACGAACGTGCGGGCGCGGAAGCCAACGCACTGCGTGAAGCCGTGTGACTAAGCCCAGAAGAAAGCCGCCCTGGATCCTCCTGGCGTCCTGAGGATTCCTGAGGATTTCCTCGTTTGGCATTCCTTTCACACCACACTTCATGATGGATCTTTCTTGTTGTCATTGCGTGTTTTTGTCCAGACTGAAGACCGACCTTTCGTGACCACCAGTCCGGTGGACGTCCGTTCCAGTCCGTCCTTCGTCCAGTCCGTCCTTCGTCCAGTCCGCCGCGGTCTTGGTGCTTTCACCGCAGTTGGTTCCAAGAATCAGCTTGTGCAGGTTTGTTCAATGTCCAGTAGATTGAAACAGCACGTTTGAATGAATGGCCCAGTAGGTTGAAACACCACATGGAGACGGAATCAGCCAAATCGTTTCGTTTCACGAAAAAGCTTGTGCACCGAATACTCTTTCCACACGACCCAAGGGGGTCGGTTTCTTTCACCCCAGACGTGATTGATGTTGTGATTGGTGTCGTCCGAGGATTCGATCGGGGAGACCTATATTTGCGTGCCCTGCCCTTTGGGCACCAGCCAAGACTTGGGCGCAGCGCAGTTCTGCAAGCCATGCAAGTCAGGCGCGTGAATCTTTTGAAGCACGAAAGCGAATTCGCTTACAGCCGGGCTCCTTAGCAATGCCGTCATGGTTGTGGATGGGCCATGGGATGTTTTGGGTGCTTCCGAAGAAAGGCCACCAGGGGTCACAATGACATCAAGATTCTATTCCTTTGTTTGAGACTTCCACACCACGTGCATTCCGCTGCTTCAAGGAAACTCCGTGGTAATTTTTGGGTCTGCAGGCATCGTCACGTCTTGGGAATGTCCGATCGAGCGCGTGAAGAATCGGATTTCATAGGTGAAAGATTCATACAGCTGGTCTCCACAGGGGGGTCCTCAGGAGGCAGCTGGTCGACCTGGTCCCGTCGCCAATGGAGTTCCTCACAGACCCCTGGGTACTGGATGGGATATCCGGACCTGGCCGACACCCTGGCGCAGGTGAGTACCAGGATGAGATTGGAAGCAGGACGTGTAAACGCTGCAGCATCGGCAACTATCAGGAGCTACAGGGCTGTGTCAACTTTCTATGTGATGTTTCACTTTCAAGGCTTGATGAAGTGTTGATCTTCAGATATGTGTGGTACTGCGAGTGTTGCTTGGAAATAACAGGATTAGGATTTGCCCCCCAGACTCATCAAAACGATGTTGCAGGATGAATCGGGGGCCGAGATCTGCAAGAGTTGTCCAGTGGACACCACCACGTTGGGCTTGGGCCACTCGACATCTGCACAGTTGGGGGAATTTTAGAGCATTTTGTATATTGCGAACCATTGTCCTTGTGAATCATAGTCAGCATGTATAACATCACATGCATCATAAAGACCTGTAGCAGCCCTTTTGACTATCAAGAAAAAGTGCGTATGGTCCGGTAGAACTGAGAAGGAGGTAACCCCTCTGGAGCTCTGATTGAAAAGCCTCTAGGTCACTGAGATCCCGGGTGCGATTGTGAGCCATAGATTTGGGGCCTTTGGAACCCAAACAGCTGGACTGGTGAATAATTGTTGTGAGTAAGACATTAGCACAAGGATGTACAAGGAAAAGATGGATGAGATCAAGGAGGTTCTCACTACAATAGCTCAAAGTACGCTGGCAACAACATCAGCAGCTGAGGCAGTGATGAAAGCAGTTGAAGACAAGAGGTCATCAACAACCGATAGGTCAAAGTTGATAGCAAAGCCCAAGATCTTTGACTACAAGTCACAAGATGAAGAGATTCAAGCATTCAGAGAGTGGTCATGGATCTTTGAGAAGTACTTGAGTGCAGTTGATGAAGGCTACATGAAGGACCTGAAGCAAATTCGTGACAAGCCAAATGAGAAATTTGACATGGACTTGGCAACTGACTCAGAGAAGGCCAGGTGCATCAGGCTCTTTGGACTATTGTATAGCTTCATTGATGAGAGGAAGGGCACTACAACTGGTGAAAGCTGTGCAGGACTCTAATTGCTTTGATGCCTGGAGGAGCTTGAATAAAGGTTTGAAACCAACTTCAAGGGCAAGAGGCTTGGCACTCTTGGGGGCAGCCGCTACATGGCTAGCATTTTCAATGAACAGTGCACTACAACCTCAACCCTTGAAGCTACGAGAAAAGTATTTGATGAGACTGTCAAGGCAGGGACTACAATTCAGGAAGAGTTGAAATCTACTATTCTTTTGAGATGTGTAGGTGGGCAACTCAAATCCTGCTTGAACTTGACAATTGGTGACAATGTTCAATACTCAACTTTGAGGGAACATGTGTTGCAATGGGATAGATCTCAGCAGAAGCGGGCTGCTTCCATGGTGGCTAGTAGCAGTACAGACTATCAAGGACCCATGCCAATGGACGTTGATCGAGTCCAAGACGCCAAAGGAAAAGGTAAGAAGGTCAAGAATGACCATCAGAAAGGCAAAGATGCCAAGGGCAAAGGAAAGGAAGGACAAGGATATCATAAAGGTAAAGAAGGTGATCACAAGGGTAAAGGTAAAGACAAAGACCAGAAAGGAAAAGGTGTGACAACATGTTACACTTGCGGAAAGCCAGGACATCTTGCTAAAGACAGTTGGAGGAACAATATTCGACAGGTAGCAAGTGATCAGACCCATTCATCTTCAGGTGGAGCATCTGTGACAACTCATACAGTTGGCCAACAGCATGCAACAGAGCAGCTCAGCAGAGACCAAGCCAGCGGTCTGAAGAATTGAGAACTGTGAGCCGATTATCTTTGACCTGAGGAAGAAAGATGATGAGCTAGAAGATCAGGGAATCAGAGTGAATCACTTCTACATTGGAGATGATGATGATGTTGATGATGATGACGATGATGATGCTGGTGATGATGATGAGCTAGAGATCCAGGAAGTTGAGGAGATGCCAATCTCACTCTCAGATGATGAACCCATGGTGAGGAGACTTGGGGAAGAGAATGAGGATGTGGCCATCATTATTGACAGTGGAGCAGATGTAGCATTATTCCCTTTGAGCGTGGCAGATCATGGAGAAGGAGAACTACAATTCAGCGCAAAGACCCAGCTACAATGTGCACAAGGAAACCGTATCCCCACAGGAGGTGCGAAAAGTGTATTTCCTTGCATGACCTTGATGGACGAGAAGTTCTTCTCAAAGAGAACGTGATCTTCAGTTCCAAGGTGAATCAGCCCATACTTTGTTATGGAAGGTTGATGGCACATGGTTGGGGAATCAACAGCAGAGAGCAACTGTTGGAGAATGGTGACTTGAAGGTACCACTCAACTTGCAAAATCGCCCTTTGACCGTCCAAGGCCGCATTAGAGTCATTCGAGATGAAGATGAGAACTGCTTGGAGGCGCAAGTACCTGAAGCTTTAGAGAAGGAACCAGGTTGGAGATCCAATGAACATGGACTGCTAGTTGGAAGCTTATTAACTTCAAGATTTGGTGACCCCACAGTCATTCCAGAAGTGGAGGAATCACCAGAGTTGATGAGAACCACTTTGGTGAAAAGAGGAGGTAGATGGCTAATGCCTGAATATTGTGAAAGCATGAGGAAAAAGGAGGAACTTGATGAGCAGTTCTTTGATGATGATGCAGTCACTCCTTCAATCACAATCTTCAGCTATGAGCCAGCACCACCAGAGGATATGGGAATCTTTGCACCAGGATACAAGAAGCTTGAGAACAGAGAAGAGAGAAAGAAAGAAGTGGAGAAGGCAGTCGAAGAGATACAGGAGAAGGAGGCCGAAGACAAGAAAGAAGAAGAGAGGAAGGAAGAAGACCTCGAGCGTGTGTTACAGCTGAGCCCAATGGATGTAAACAAAGTCTTGGTGAATGGAATAGATCTGACTAAGGATTCATCTTTGGCAACTCTGAGGGCAGCTTGTTCGTTTCTCGGCATTTCAGGCAGTGGCTCTAAGCTGGCTTCATTCATGTTGCACCACTAGGCGGCAAAGGCCAATTTCGTCTCATTGTGCAGGAATTGATGAATTTCAGTCAATTGTTGGTGTATTCAGCAATCACCTACAGGAGTGACAATGAACCCGTAACAAGGCAAACCCTCAAGATGCTGATCAATGCTCTAGGACTGACTGCCAGATTGGTCAACTCAAAGCTTGGAGATCATTCATTTCTGTCAGAGAATACAGTTGACATGGAGAGAAAGCTTGCAGGAACATTCATTGAAGGTGTGCACTCAAGACCTGGTACTCAGATTGGATCAGATCCTGCACTGTGGACTTGGGCCCAGTTGCACTGTTCATGGTTACATCAAGAGCCTCAACAAAGGAGAAGCAAGATGGCGCCTATGCTTGTTCTTAGGAAAAGTTGAGAGGCAAGACACACATGCGCTTGCAGTTTGGAGTGTAGGTAGTGCTCAGAAAGTGCGTCAGAAGAACAGATCAAGATTGGCCCAAGTATTTACTTATCTACAGAAGCTTTAATGCATTCTCATGGGAGTATCAAACCAACTTTTGGAGGTAGAATCATTGCCACCAAGAGGAGAGCAGAGGCATCGCCAGCAGCGCAAACAGACATTCCCAGAGAACATGCAATGCTTAAGTTTAGAGATGAGGGTGCAGAAACAGTCATGGCCAAGGCACTGGAAGGAGGAAGACGAAGAACCAGTCTTTGCAGAGCCAATGGAAATTCCAGCCCCGCTGGAAATCACTGCTGAAGCAATGAAAAGAGATGGAGGAGAAGTTCTCTTTACAGAAGAGAAAACACTTGAGAAGGTGAATGCATTTCCCTCTACATCATTGCCAGCAGGACAGCCAAATCCAATTACTCCTATCCTATCTTCACTGTGGGGTCACCATCAGCGCCATCAAGACCAAGAGAAGCATTTGATCTGCTTGAAAAGGAAAGCCCAATTAAGAAGCTCAGGCCAACAGATCAGTCACGCAAGTAAGCCAAGATCAGCATGGTGAAAATTGGAGGAGAAGATCCTTGCCACATAGGTGAAGATGGACCTGAATGTTTATGGCGTGATGGAGAACATGAACCAGAAGATCCAGAAGAATGGATTGATAGAGTAGCTGGTGAAGTGGAAGAGAAAAGACTCCAAAAGATGCAGGTGCTAGAGCCAGAAGGAAGCACAACAGGAATCAGTTACCTGACCACACGCAACGTGTATGACTGGAGGAAGAAACCATATCAACCTGAAGGTGGAATCTCAGTCAAGAGATGGAAGAGAAGACCAAGACTAGTTGCAAGAGAATTTGCTTTCGCTGAAGGAAAGAGAGATGATACTTTAGGACATGTACTGAAGCTTCTACCCACAATTTTCTTGCAAAGGATCAGTGAGGAAGATGAGGCAAGAGAGGGAGAAGGAGCATTCTCATAGGCGCTAGGATGTCTTGGTGCAAAAGACGCGTTCCTACAAGTTCCACAAGAGAAGCCATTGACAGTGAACTTGAGAGGGGAAGAGCTCTTAGTGACCCTCGTGTTTGCAGGGTTCTCTCATTCGAGTCAGTGTGATCCAGCTGGAGTTCAATGTTCCCAACCCAATGCAAGGAGCTTCAACCTTTAACTTATGTTGCCTTTTTGGGGACCGTTGAGCAACCTCGCCTTATGATCTGTATTATCCATTGATGTTGTTCATGAAGATCCAGGAATGCCACATTCCAAACCATTCCACTACTTACAGTATATATATATACTGTATATATAAATCGCCTTCAGCATTCTATCTCTACAAAACCCTGTTTTTTAACTGCACAAACCCCTGTAAATACCACAAAACTTGATTTCGACCGTTACCGCGTTCAAATTTGACCCCGTCAACCCCTATTGCGTACATTCTAAGTTCCAGTCCGTCGGTATGTATATATATATGTATATATCCAGACGGGTTTTTACGTTGCGTGTAATTTCATATGCAATTTGCAGGTTTTTTGGCATTTTTTGTGTGAACTTTGCGCGGTAAAAAACGCGTTTTTACCGCGCGCTGTTTTTGTCCTTTGCTGTAAAACAGATTGTAATTAAGACTGCAGACTGTTCCGCTATTCTGAGGGCTTGGTCGGATGGGATGGGATGTAACCGTTCGGTCCTATTTGCATCTCATCAACTAGAATCTAGAAGCACTTCCACGCTACGCTGCGCAATGCGACTGGCTGAGAGTGGGGTGGGGTGGGGCGGGTCGGGATGTTAACGTTCGGTACTATTTACGCACCCATTAACTAGAAACCCTTCTACGCTACGCTACATAATGCGACTGACTGAGAGTGGGGTGGGGTGGGGTGGGATGGGTTGGGATGTTAACGTTCGGTTCTATTTGCACATCAATTTAGATGTCAGATGTGAGTTGTTTGGCTGTTAGGGATGCGCCAGAAACAATTCACATGCGGTGCAGATTGGAAGGGCTCTTTGGACTGTTGACATGCCACGTTTTTCATCATGTCCAAGCAAGAAAATGCCCGGTGGTTGTCCAGAACAGTATTTGTTTTCCTAAACGCAAAAAGGGTTTATATAAACATAACATGTGTTTTCACAACCGTCGGGATATATATATATAATATATCAAAAAAATCAATATAAGACCTCCATTGAAAGACCTAATTGTCACCACGGCACGGTAATCAGCGTATAATAAACACCAATATGTGTTAAGGCAGGTTCCAGGGCACGGCAAAAGGTGCACGAAGAAACGCAGATTTGCACCTTAAACTAGGATAGGTTCCCAGGCCGTGTTTCCTAATTTACCGAAGATCCCCTGCATGGCATTTCTCCAAGCTCGACATTCCTGAAGTAGGCTGGGCCGAACGTTTCAACGGTCACAGTGACCTCAAAAAGATTCTCGGCAGGCATACCATGTCTCCTCGAAACACAATGGGTTGGCCGTCAATAGTGGCAAGTCCTTCTCACCCAATTTTCGACTGGGCCCACCCAATCCCCTCAGGTTTTCTCACTTGCACTCGGAGACGAGGACCAACCTAGTCGTGACTTGCAGGGTCAGGCTCCACGTGCGTTCTGAGTCCAGGCTCTGTGGCTGCAAGCGACTGTGGTTGCAAAGCAGATCACATCGACGTGAACATCGATCAAGGCCGATGGTGGAGATGAGTCTTCGACGAGTCACGGTTCGGTGCACTTTTTCAATTTCAGCTTCCGCGGTTGCATTCAGCCTTTTTTGGATCCATGGGAACTCAACATGCGCATGTTGTGCAAAACTTAGCATGCAACCGCATTCGCCGCTAGTTTTTTTGTTTTTGAGAAAGATGCAGGCTCTTGGGGTTCTTGTTGAAGTGGCTCATCACATGATTTTTTTGACTAATTACTGCACGGACGACTACCTCTATTATTCCTATATACTACTATAAGTACTACTTATATACATGTATATACACGAATATACACTATAGTATACTCCTCCTCCTCCTACTACTGCTGCTGCTGCTGCTGCTGCTGCGACTACCACTACTTCTACCATCGGTTTGAATGGACTGCACCATTATTGCACACTTTGCCTTGGAGTAATTGAATAGCGAGGGCTACCCAAACTTCGGACGAGATACATAGCATTGGGCTAAACCAGGCTGTAAGCCACAGAGGTATTATGTATAAAGCGTTTTATGTTGTGTTTTAGCAATTGAGAATGTTCGATGGGCATCCGAATTCACACCACGTTTTCAATTGTTATGTTTCTCTTTTTTTATACTTGGCTCAGCTAGAGCGTGCTTTCACCTCTAATACTTGGGTTTTTCCCAGCGCAACTGCCTGATGGGTTACTCCAGGCGTCATCCAGTGCCAAAGGTGCAGCGAAGGTTTGCGTTGCCCGATTCTATCCAACCTGGCCCTTCGTCTGCACAAAGGCAGCTCAAACCGAGGATGGATACAACAAAATGCGCAAAGCAGTGGGTACTAGTAACACCATAGACATCCATAGACTATAGGCTGATAGGGACCTCAAGCCATCAAATTTGTCAGGTGTTTGATGCTTTCCAATTTCATTTTTTGCATCGTTTTTTGCGCTGAAGTTGTTTTTTTGAGGTGGACCTCCAGCGCGGTGCCAGTGACCTGGGGCCAGACTATGTGCCTCAGGTGAAAGCGGGCTATTTCAGCGCCGTGCACAGCCCCACGGAGGCGCCTCCGACCGGGGGGCTGGACACCGGGGAAAAAAGTGTTTGAAGGACGTTGGTGATCTGGATTTGCTTCCTCTTCCAAGTGGTGTCGTGTTTGTTGGTGATCGCTAGGATGGTCAAGGGAAGTGTAGAGTCTGAAGATCTTTCCTTTGGGGGGTCAACCTTCACAGAATCAGTGGTTTCCTGGGGGGTTGCAATGCAATCACGGTCCATTTGCACGTTTTTCCATGCGCCTTCAGCAGATACCGTGAAGGGAGGAAGAACACATTCAACAAGTCGATTCACATCGACCCCCGGACCCGTCACACACAACTCGTAACATATCAGACCTGTAATCCATGACCCACATCTCAGTTCGTATGTTCGCATGTGGCATGGGTGTGTGCGAACGTTTGATGGTGGTGTGATTTGGAAGGCAATTGACAGGCGTGTGTGCGAATATGAGCTATAGAAATGTGATGAAATGTGTGCCAATATGAGCTAGGGGTCTACACGTCTCGTGTGTGCGAATCTGAGCTAGAGATGTGTGCGAATATGAAGCGCCTCTTCAGTTTTGTTTGTTTTTCATTGCAGAAGTGGTTCTGGTAAAGTTTAGCTGTGTATAAAAGGAATTACATCAATGATTATATATGTGGGATATTATGGGATATTATTATGGGATATTACTGCTATATGCGATACTTTTTGATAGAAATGCATGTTGATTCTTTTCTGCTCAGGACCTGAAGCGGGGCTGCTGTCGAACGGACTCTGTTGTAATAGGTTCACAGCCCATGCAGGCACGACTTTTAGGTCAACGAGTCAACAATAGGGCTTTGAAACGCCTTGCGCATGTCATGCCTTCCCATTCAAAGTGGGAGCAGTTTGGGTGGATCACAGGTGTCATGTCTTCCCATCTCTTGCCTTCGGGGTTCTATCATGTTCCATCCATCCTCGAGTCCTTGAAGAGTCCCTCCACTTGAGACCAAGCGGCGCAAGCGGCGCAAGCGACCGCTGACCGGCCTGACAGGTCTATTTCTGCAGCGGCAGCGACGTCTGCCCGGGCGGCGCGCCTGGGAGCTGCACCGGGGGCCTGGTCGACACACCATGTGCTCAATGCACTGCAGGCGATGGGGTAACGAGTCGGGTGGTTGGTGACTGTGGTGACTGGCGGTTTTTCGGTGGTTCAATGGAGGTGGTGAATGGATCGACGGCAATTGCGTGGTGTGGATATATATGGCTCCAACCCCAAAGCCGAGCTGATATTTTTGGTTTGTTGGATGCCAAAGCCAACACTGTGCTTGACCCTTCGTGGAGACCCACGTTGTCACTATCCTGCTTGACGACCTCTTGGTGGATCCATCACCCTCGTTGTTTGAAGACAAAGATCACGATGCAGATGTGGCGTTTGAGTTCCCTCTTTGAGGGCGCGCGCAGTGTTTCTTTGATGCTCCTCCACGGAGTTTGTTGTGTTGTGTGCCTCCACGTTTGGAACGCCTGGCCACTATGGCGCCCTTTCCGCGCTTCTTGTAGAAGCCCAGAATACTCAAACCAGCCAAGGCAGCATGGTTCAATGGTTCACAAATGACAAACTGTTTGACAGACTGTGGTACCACAATTTGATACCAGTTATAGGCTATAGGCTTTATAATAGCTTATATTACATTGATTCACCATTTTTCGTTTGTTTTGTTCAACTGAAAACTGAAAACTGAACCGCTCGGACCGGACCGCTTCCCGCCAGGCAGCACGTGGACAGGAAGTGCGTGCGAAAGCTGCGGAGTGTGGCGTCAAGCCCTTTGGGTGGGGCGGCCAAGGGTTTTTTTTCGAGGCGAACATGGTGTGGCCACAAGCCCGATGCTCCCAAGCGTTCCGGTGCACACCGGTTACAGACTGAACTCTGAAAAAACACCCATAGAAATCCAGATTTTGGGGGTTTCAAAGGACTCTATGCCATGCCGCGAGAACTTCCAAGTTTGAACATGCGAAGAAACCGTGAACATCCCTGGAACTGCTTGTCAGACTGACCTGATCCTTTCTTAATGGATTTTCTGCAGGTCAAACAGGGTTTAAACATCACCTGCAGCCTGTAGCGCTGTTCCTTTTCCCGCATTAGTTCGGTCACCGCTGCCCTCGGTCGGTGACAAAACCCTGGTCACCCTAACTCCACAGCGGTCCAGCAATGCGCTGTGAGGTCTGTGCCATCATCGGTGTTTTCGTCTTTGTGCCACTTGGTGCTGCCATTGAAATGGCTGATTCAACCCGAGTGTCGGGATGCTTTCCGATTTGAGAAGCATGCGGTATCAGGTCCTGGATCTGAAACGAACAGCATCTCCAGGGATCGGTTGGGCGTTGATGTCTTGAAAGACTCCCGACTCTTCATGGCATCGGTTTGATTTACCCTGAGGATGCTGCTGTACTGGCTGACGAGCAGCCACGTCACCGCCAAAGCGACCGTGCTTTTTGCCGTGTCCGCGTCGGTGGGCATGCTGGTGATGTCCATGCAGAAGCTCGGAATTGGCCGTTTTACTCAGAGTCAAGTTCGAACAGGACAGTTACCCTCCTGCGGACCAAAACCACCGGGTGATGGAGAATCATCTGAACCAGGGGTCTATTGTCACTGAAGACTTGTGGTCCGTCTGCAGGGGGGGTCTATTGTCACCATGCGACAGCGACCTATCCATCCGTATCGCAGTCCGTACCGCTTTCGTCCAAGAGATTGAGGGGCAACGAGTCTTTGCTGTACGTATCGGTACCCCTGGAGCCTTTGGCCTTCATGACCAAAAAAACATTCACAGAGTTAAAGTCAACAGCCCATTGAATCATTGTTAGGGTCCCAGGCCCTGGGTCCTTGCGTTTTGAAGACCACACCTGTATCCCTGTTCCTGAGCGTGTTCAGCGAAGTCCTTGCTTTAAGTAGTGTCACCTCTAAATATCCGAAGTGAGCAGATTGATTTCAGATCAACTTCGCCCAGTAAAGACTGAATCTCAATCATTGTTGCAAACTATAAATTAAGACTAATTATGCCTTGAGGACTCTGAGCCACATGCAGATCCGGCGCGCACACGCCCCATACCTAGCTCGTGCAACTTATGCCGTCGACGCATGCACACGAGCCGCGATGCCGTGCAGCTCCCTTGCAGCCACCGTGCAGCTGTAGCTGGGAGGTGGTTCAACAGTGGTGAACGGTTGAACAGCTGTAGCTGGGCCTGGAGGAGACCCAAACCAAGCGGGTCCAAAACCTGAGCAAACGGGTTAGGTCACCTGGACCTTGAGTCCGGGGAGTGGGTGCAGTCGATGGTTTTGGCGTTTTCTCTTGAATGGGGTCTTTTTTGGCGTGGTGTTGTCTCGTTGTGTGTCTCCAAAAACTCGAACCTGTTTCTACAAAAAGGGATCCAGCAACACGCCGACGGTCCATGTCAGGAACCTGGGGCTGATTGGGATGATGACGGTTCAATGGCCAGAAGATCTTAAAGGCTTCTTCAGCATTTGCCAATTCCTCTTGCTCGACATTGACAGTTACGGCTTCAGCTGCATTGCAGGTTGCCAGGAACGAAAGAAGTTGTGGATAGATTCTGGAGCACGAGATGACAAGGGAAAAGCTAAGAATCGCAAAACTTATGGGAATATTCACCACATGTGCGAGTCAAATTTTCAATTGAGGATGATGATTCTTGTGGGAGCTCATTGCTTAGAAACACAGGTGCCAGTAGTCTCACCCTTTGCTGGTGGCCAGCAGTTTCAAATCTGCTAGTCCCTTCACGGAGCTGATGTACTCTTGGGGCCACGCTATCATACGCCCAAGGTCCAAGGTGGACCATGCAATATCACCAAATATCTGTAGTATCTTCCTCCCTGTCCCAGTCTGTTACCCATGAAGATTGATACTTATCACTTATCACTTCAAAATGAACATCACCAGTAACATTCTATGAAACCATATGAAACCTCTTCATGCTAGAAAACCACCCTCTTCCCCATCGTTTTTCGATGCCTGGTGGCTTCGACGTGGTCGACAGTCGATGGGACTTGGTCGAAGTGGTGTGAAGCCTCTTTGACACCATTGAACATATTGAACCTCCAAGGCTTGTAATCTCAGCAAGGTGCACAGATACTCTGTCTTCTGTCTTTCTGATTGAAGAACATTGAAGAAACAAACTCCGAATAGGCCTTGGCCCCTCAAACCTAGGGACTTGAGGGTCCGGACCCCTCCATAGCCTCTGGGATGTCAGATATTGCATAAATTATATAGTCGTTTTATTAACTAAGCATCATTGAGCCATTTATATTATATATTCTCTCTCTCTCTCTCGACTCTCGAGTCTCTTCTTGCTCGCTTGGTTCGTGGTAGCGTTGGTGATCGTCCATCTCTTGTTCCGCTCGTCGTCTCCGCTGCGCTTCGCTTCGTCTCCGCTCGTCGTCTTGCACCAGTGACCGAATGAGTGCAGTGCCATGTGTGGACCGGCCAATTCGTGGTGGTCTACCAAAAGAATGGTGACTTTCTAGTTGCGGGTTGAGTGCACTTTTGTGTCGCCCACTAAAAAAGAAACACGCTGCAGACTCAGGTACCGATGCAACCACACGCTACTTGTTGAGCGCACTGATCTTCCCGGCAGCCGTTGCATGGCTGGGCCTTTGCTACGGTGCGTCCCGCTTGCTTTCGGAGCGTCACCATTGGATCGGTCCCAAAGTCTGCAACGCGGCGGGACATCCGGGGACATCATGTGTCGTCGAGGTTGAATCGGCGGTGACCAGCGTCTTCAGTATGTGTTCGGGAACTTGAGGGTCCCCAACTTGAGGGTCCAAGTGATCTCAAACGGGGATGTCCAAAATTCGGCTCAGGGAATTCCTTCACCTCCCAAAGACATGGGATCTGTGAGCACTCTTAAGCAGTTGAAGCACTTTTCCGCCAAGGACCTTTCTCCGTCCACCCCCAAAAAACAATTCACCCTTCAAAAGGAATAAAATGGAGTGCTTGTTTTCACTGTGTGGGACACTGCGGTGTTGTTTCTTCTCTTTTTCAAGATGCGTCAAAATGATGTCCGTCACCCGGCTTTCTTATTGCAGCCAACTGGATGTCTTTTTTGGCCGGCTTTCGATGGAAAACATCTAAGGTAGCACCATGGGGGCGTTTTTGCAGATGGGTTTCAGTACCATGGCAGCGACCAGCTTGGCACCAATGATGTGCTACAAACATCCCAACGGCCTCAGGAGATTCACGGGCCCACCGGAGCGCGGGTTGACCCGCGAGCCGGATGTTCCATCACCACCACCTGTTTGAGCAGGGTTGCTATTGACCCACCAGCGTGTTTTGCACGCTTTGAGCTTTGCTTTTTTTGAGCAGGTTGCTATGGACCACTTTTTGTACCTGGATCCGGGCAAACGACCTTGGAGGCCATCACTATAAAGGCCATCAATAGTAGGTTGGAGGCCATCACTGTTAAGTTGGAGGCCATCACTATTAGATTGAAGGCCATCGCTAGTAGGTTGGAGGCCATTGCTATTACTGTAGGTTGGATCCTAACAGCTTCCCACAGCCGTTCCTCTTTGGGCCCTGGTTGAAAGGCAGCACCTTCTCTCATGGAAACTGCTGGTAGGACTCCACCTGCTATGGCAACCCTTTCTTTTGTATATACAATAATTATTGTGTGATGTCATTGAAGCCCATAAGTTTTGGTGGGCCTGATTTTGAGTCGTAAGATACTGTAAGTCATTCTAAGATATTATAAGTCTATGTAAGTCTATTGCTTGGAGGAGATGATACAGCTCGGACACCCATTATGGGCGCTTTGGGCGGTGTTGAGGAATTTTGAGACACCATATATAGTTCTTGCAACGCATTGGCATGGACGTCGGGGGCGGCAACGACAAAGGCCACCCATGTCACACCGCCGATCCGAAGGTGTTTTGGGACGGCCAACCTTCTTGCTCCTAGTAGTAAGGCCAGGAGCCCCTAGTAGCGTCCTTGCTCCTAG